AGAAATAATTATAAGCATTGTGCTAAGTAAATAATTCAATTATCAAACTATGTATTTCATTTATGTAAAATTACCAAAATATCTAAGTAAAAAGTATCATCTATAATTTAATATAATGGGTGAGTATGGTGGTGAAAATGAGAGGTCTGAAGTTTTTTTTTGGGGGGGTTAAGGCTATAAAATAATTTAAAATAATATTGGTGGTGATAACTGCCCTTAACTATACATATATAAATGACCATTGAATTATTTTTTGAAATTGTTAAACTATACATCTCAGTAAAGCTGTTACCAAGATAAACTTATCAGAAAGGCCTGCCATAGGGACAAACCCTTTTAATCCCTGTACTCAGGAGGCAGAAGTAGGCAAATCTCTGTGAGTTCCAGGCCAATCTTGTCTATATTGAAATTTCCTGAACAGCCAGGGTTACATAGAAAGACCCAGCCTTAAAAAAAAAAAAAATAGCTAGAGAATCTATGTTAATGTCAGATAAAAATTTCTGAATAAGTAAATTATCACATCAAACATGACAGCTTGACATTTGTATAACCTATTCAGCATTTACTAACAGAGTATACTTTCTACTGCGGTTCACATAGCATATGCGCCAGAAAAACTATGTGCTGGCACAGCTTAATTAACTAAAAATAGAAATAATACAGAACTCATCAGACTAATATACGATTTATCAGACAATGATGGAACTAAAACAGCAATTCAAAACAGAAAAATGTTGAAAATCTTAAAATATATGGATATTAAACAACATAGTGAAAACATTTTAGGCTAAATGAAAATATAAATCATGAAAACTAGTACAATGCAGCAAGACCACTACTTAGATGAATCTTTTAGCAGTTAGTACATAAAAATAAAGCAAATGTACAGTTAATTAACTAAGTTTCCATCTTAAGAGAAAGCACTAATGTAAACCTGTAAAGATAAAAAGTTAATCCAAATTGAAAATAAAAAAAAAAATCAAGAGAAAAAAACCAGTAAGATGAATACAGTGCATGAACCTGGAGTTAGAATAATGAATAAAAATAGAAGATATACATAATCACTAAAAGAACTAGAAAAGTCAACACTTCAGATCTCATAGTTTCAAAAAAAAGGCAACAATGGCCATTATGAGTCAATTGTTGCTCAGGTATTAGATAATTTAAGTGACACTAGTGAATCCTTTGAAATTCACAAGCAATCAAAACTCACACAAGTGTAGTTAGATCATCCAAACAGGCTTCTAGCCAGTAAAAATATTGAGTTAGTCATTAACAACTTTGCAGAAAACAAACAAACAAACAAACAAACAAAATTAGTCTTAAAGGTATTGTTTTCTTGTAAATATACTGGACAAGCAAGAACAAAGTAAACCAATTCTCTAAAGTTAGTTCCAAAAGATAGAAGTCATGGGACCATAGGTCAGCCAGGATTACCCTAATACCAAAACCAAATGAAGGTATCACAAGAAAAACAACAACAAAACAAAACAAAACAAAACAAAACAAAACCCTATAAACCTATGAAGCTCATAAATTATCAGTGAAAATAAATGCTGAGCAAAATTTAATGAGACTCATCCATCAATGTAAAAATCAAATCAGAAGCCGTATACCAATAATATTTATTCCAGCCTGCAAAACTCTCTTAAGACTAAAAGAATTCCTCCCCCCTCCACAGACTAAAGAATTCGAACGGATCCTAAAAATTGTATTTGACAGAGACACAAAATATCATGATTGAAAACTCCAAACAGGCAAGTACAGAGGGAAAGAGTCTTGGTTTGATGAATGCCATACGCAAAGGCAACTGGTAGCCTCAGCCTTGATTGGAACAGTTTTGGGAAGAAGAAGGTGGACACACTCTTGCCTAGCGTGAGTGAGAATTGCATTCAGTCTTAGTAACCACACCCCAAGGGAACAGAAACCCTACTGTACCTATGTAGGTTATACATACCTGGCACATGACAGACTGTATTCACTTAATGCATATTACTTTATTTCCCTTAAATGTACACCAATCCTTTTTAAGAAGCATCATTTCAGTAAGCAGTGAAATGATTTCCTCTATCTGTCCAAAATACTTCTGTTGCCTCCTACTGGAACGAGACAGCATAGGGAAAATGTTTGTGGAAATAATAGTAAGCCAAGACCTCGATATTGATAAAGAAACAAGAGACTGAGAAAGAAAGGAAAACTCACCTGTTTTTGAGACGGATAGATGTATGTATGTATGTATGTATGTATGTAGGCACATGCAAGGATCCAAGGTCAAGTGTTTGTAGTGCTGAAATCTTCCTGAGCATTACTTTATAATCCAACATGAAACTACCAGGGAGTTGGCACTGTGCTAACAGACAGTGTAGATTTGAAGAATCAATCCACAGCTACTCAGTGTGGTGGCTTAAATAAGAGTATCCCCCATAATTTCATATATTTAAATGCTTAGTGAGTGGGATTGGCCCTATTTGAAAGGATTAGGAAGTGTGTTCTTGTTGAAGGAAGTGTGTCGCTGAATGGATTTTGGAGTTTCAGAAGCCCAAGCCAGGCCCAGAAGCTTGCTCTCTCTCTCTCTGCTGCTTACAGATCTGGATTTACAATGCTCAGCTACTTTTCCAGCACCATGCCTGCCTCCATGCTGTCATGCTTCCCACCATGATGACAATGGACTAATCCTCTGAAACTGTAAGCCAGCCCAATTAAATGCTTTCTTTTATAAAAGTTGCTGTCATGGCATCTCTTTAGAGCAACAGAACACTAAGACAATTATAAACAACATAAGATTAGACATGAGTTTAATACAATTTTGTTTTGATCATACAGGTTCAAGCAATTGATTTCCAAGATGGTGTTTTCACAAAATTGGAAAAATCTGTATTTTCTAATTATTTTTTAATTAGGTCCATCATTTCATTGACCTTTTAACTCCAAAGAATTTGATCATGTTCCATTGGGATGGTGGTCAGGTGGGCAGGGACAGTATGGTGGTAGGAAAAGAGCGGTAAGGACTTGTGGGCTGTTTAGACTGATATGTGTGGGCTGACAGATCAGCTCTGGTATATGGGGCTTCTTTGTGGTTTGAATATTGAACAATGAAAACATCTTAAGATCAGCCAGGACTTTAAGAGGTGTGATTACCTGTTTGTTCACAAAACAAGTGCTTAAACCAACACAGCACTTGACTTAAAGGTAGACTCTTGAGCCCAGGACTGTATCATGGAAGGACTTTGTAAACTGGAATTGGGAAAGTGAAAGAAGAAAACAAGAGGGTTTTGTTATTTTTGTTCTTGTTTGTTTTACTAACTTGAAGAAATCTATTCATACCAGAAGGCTCCTATTTGCTCAATTTGAAAACACTGGTATGATAAACTTGAGTGCAAAAATCACAAATACCCTGAGCATTTTGACTTTTACTTTGTGAGAGATTCAATTAGCAATGGTATTTAATCATCAGAACAAGTCAAATTAGCTCAGCAAAATCACTGACCTAAATATGAGACAAAGTCCATCACTATCCCAGAAGCAGAAAGGCACACATGGTATATACTCACTTATAAGTGTATATGAGACATATAACATAGGATAAGCATACTAAAATCTGTATACCTAAAGAAGTTAAGCAAGAAGGAACACAGGATGGATATCAGAAGAGGGAGAAAACAGGGAACAGGACAGGAGCCTACATAGAGGGTCTCTGAAAGACTCTACCCAGCAGGGTATCAAAACAGATGCTGAGACTCATAGCCAAACTTTGGGCAGAGTGCAGGGAATCTTATGAAAGAAGGGGGAGATAGAAAGACCTAGAGGGAACAGGACCTCGACAAGGAGAGCAACATACTCAAAAAATCTGTGCAAAGGGGTCTTTTCTGAGACTGATATGCCAACCAAGGACCATGCATAGAGATAACCTAGAACCCCTGTACAGATGTAGCCCATGGCAGCTTAGTCTCCAAGCGGGTTCCCTAGTAATGGGAACAAGGACTGTCTATGACATGAACTCAGTGGCTGGCTCTTTGATCACCTCTCCCTGAGGTGAGTGCAGCCTTACCAGGCCACAGAGGAAGACAATGTAGCCAGTCCTGATAAGACCTGATAGGCCTGGGTCAGAGGGAAGGGGAGGAGGACCTCCCCTATCAGTGGGCTGGGGGAAGGGCATAGGAGGAGATGAGGGAGGGGATGATAGAGTGAGCTACAGCTGGGATACAAAGTGAATAAACTATAATTAACAAAAAAATAAAAAAGAGACAAAGGCATAAAAGGAGTGGAGAAAAACATAGGGGTACTTCTTCAACTCCTTGGGCTCTTTAAAGGCTTCTCAGATTCAACAACAAACCCAAAAGCAATCAAAATAGAAAAATAAATTAATTAAACTTCATAAAAATTAAAACTTTTGTGAATGAAGAGATGTGATCAAGAGACTAAAAAGAAAGCCTAAACAATGGAGGAAATGCAAATCAAAATTCGCCTAACAATTTTAAATATGTAAAGAATTCTAAGAATTAGTACAATTCCATGACAAAAGGATATTTCATAGTTGTAAAGTGACAGTGAAAAGTTGCTTCTCCCACAGAAGACTGAAATGGCAGCAAGCATGCATAGTGGGTAAAGAAAACGCAACAAGAAAATCACAGGAGTTAACAAGGGTTTCAAAGGACACCAACACGCTGCTGGAGAGGTCAAATGGAACAGCAGCTATAGAAATGTTCAGTGCTTTCTGTAAAGGTTAAATATAAGATTACTTCATAAACTGCACTTCCAACCCATGAAATAAAAGCATCCTGAATTTTTGTCTTTACAAAAATGTGTCTGTAATTCACAGCAGCATCCCTCTTTCTTTTTAAGTAAAACAACCCATATAGACAAACCCCAGTACTCAAGTTAAATGGAGCAGCATGTAGCCACGTAGAGAAAAGAAATACTGATACACAGTACAGGTTGGATTAACACTGAAATCTCACCAGGTGAGAAGATTCAGCACATTTTTTTCACATTGCATAAAGACAGTGAGACTAGTGGTTGGCAGGCAGGACTGGGGATGGGGCTTGGGGAGGGGGGAGATTAGCAGTAGTTACTTGTTTGCCAAGGACAGTAGCTTCCTGGAACTGTTCAAACTGAAGATAAAGAAGAAGCAGTGGCAGCGGCAGGAGGAGCCATCCCTGGACTGGCAGCTACCCTACCCATCAGCCTGCGCTACAGCAGCCCCAGGAAAAACGAGGGAGGGCAGCCCTGGCCGCATGCTCAGCTTCATGGGCAAGCGCAGAGACAGGAACAAACTAGCCCTCAAGACAGGAGTAGTAGCCAAGAAGCACAAGAGTATGAGGTGTTAAGAAGTAAAGGTGACTCATGGGCCAAGTACACGGCAGAAATGAAAACGTACAAAGCCCACCAGTGTGGTGAGGATGATAAAACTCGGCCCCTGGTGAAATGTCCCCATTCCCGGGTGCTCACTCCCTAGGACTCTCTGAGATGTATCTAACTGTTTAATGCTGTAATGGCAGCGGCCTTCGCAGAGATTGCTACACAGGAGAAAACCAAGGCGCTTCCAGTGGCCGCAGATCGTTGCCAGGACTCTTATACCTTGAGCGCTTGCCTCCTAGATCAGTGGTTTACTCTTCTCTCTCTTCACGTCACGTTGCTTTCTCTGGCTCTGTCTGACTCCTCTGGATGTCTCTCTCCTTTAAACAGACACTTCTGAGAGGTAAAGAACCTGACTTAGTGCTGGAGAAAAAAAAAATGTTGTTACTTAAGGAAATAGCGTATTCCTGAGACATAATGAAAAGAGGGTACGGAAGAGAGGTGGTGATTTGTCATTCCTGCTTACCTGTGCTTATATAAAGGTTAATTGTGATTTTACTTCAACAGTAATTGTATTTACTGTAGTTTTTTAAAAAGAAAAAAAAATGTAGTTATACCGATAGAAGTAGAAATATTATTTGTTAAAGATCAACATACATGCTTGAATGAATATTCAGCAAAGCAGATACAGAGAGGTAAAGGAGGAAGCCCGACATATCAAGAGTCTCTGAAATCTTGTAGCTGGCCGCCTACTCGTGCACAAAGGCTGTTCCTCGCTGAAGACCAGCACACGTAGTGGCTGTCTCTACAGCCCATAGGACCAAGAGCTTCACTAAAGATTCTGTATCTGTGAGAAGGAACCCTCATGGGAAAGGCTCTTACAAGGAAATCCCTCAGCATTGGTAACATAAAGAGCTGGGTCTGAATAGCCGGTAAGTCCATAGAGCTGCGTCAGGATGATCACAGCCACACACTGAGGAGCCTTTGGTAAATGCAGCAGCAGCAGGCTCAGCAATTCGGGTAGGGGTTTGGTATTGCAAACAGAAATAGGTGGAGTCTGTTCCAGGTTTCATTCATAAACACCTACTCCTGCAGTGCCTAGTAGGACAGCACAAGATCGAATACCATACCATGATGATTACATCATCAACAGTGCTCCTTCAGGGAGCACCAGAGAAAAAAGACAATGTGCAACCAGCAGTGTGCTTACAACAAAAGGCAACATGGTTGGGCTTCTGAGTCTCTGTCATTAACACCAAGGCCATCAGCTTCCCACCAAGCAGTCCACAGACAGAAGTGTTAGTTATTATAAAAAGAAACATGAGGCTGGGGTCAACCGATCTTCTATGCCAGAAGTTTATTAAGTGGGTATGGAGGGGGTAGGAGAACAGGACATGGTGGGGAGAGAGAAAGAAAGGGGAATGGGGCAATGACAGAGAGAGAGAGAGAGAAAGTAAGAGAGTGAAAGAGAAAGAGTAAGAGTGAGAGACCAGTGTTGGGGTTGGCCCTTTAAGGAGCAAGGTAACCACGCCTTCCAGGTGTGGCCACCTGGCCAGTGACACATGATGACATCATAAGTTGCTGGGTAACCCAGGAGTAGGTTGTGTTCCAAAATACTAACAAGAAGCCCTACTTGTGGAGGAGGAATTAGGTGTTTCTCCAGCCTCTGGAATTTATACTACCCAACACCCCTCACAGTGGTCTCTGCAATTAGATACCATAATTTCCAAGGGGGATGCTGTTTTAGGGTCTCTGTATCTCAGTGTGCTGAGATGGAGATCCTTTTTCCTTCCTGTAAGTTTCCACTAATGAAGAACGAGACAGATTGCTATTTGTTACTTAATAAAAGCCTGTCAAAGCATGTACTGGCCCCTATGGATCCTTCCAGTCTCCATCTGGTGCCCTGCTGTCAATGAAGACTCTAGAGCCACTACCCGCTAAGAAGTGTCTTTTCATTTTCACAGCTGGAGGTCATTTTTCTGTATTTTAACTTACATACAAGTTACCTACCATCGTATTTTAAAAATTCTACCTGAACAGCAGAAGTCTGTAAGCACTAATGGTGTGTTTTACTTGAGCAGCCATCTGCTAAGCTATATAACACCAAAGATGACATTGGTGAGTGGATGAGTGAATGAGAGTAAATGAAGAAGTGAACTAATGATGAGTTATGGCACCATCTTGTTTTCAGGAGTGAAAATCACGAGACTTGACCTGGTTGAAATTCTGCAGAGTCAGGACAGAGGCATTGTATTCTAATGGCAACCTCTCCGCTTTGGCCTCTGCTTTGGGACTCACCCATCCTCACAGATCTCTCCTACTTTGATTGCTCTTCCAGAAGGCACAATGGGAAGACTAAGTTAACATGTGATGCATGTCTAGTGGACATGATCCTTTTTAGTTCTTCAGGGTTTGCTCCTGTCAGTGCTCATGCTGGCTCCACACTGTCAAAAGACAACGAGGTACCACCATTATACGTTAGTGCTTTTATTAAAGTGACCAAGGCACAGGGGAGATCTTGCTTGTTAAGAACCTTATGGCTCTTTCTGCACCTTGATTCCTCAAGTGGCTGGCATGACTTCAGAAGTCTTGCCTTCCTTTCCTCAGTTCCTGTCATTGCCCTTGTGTTATACTTCAAGACCCATGGGTCACCTGCTAGCCATCAGCAGAAAGAACTCACACATGAATAGTATTAAAAACTCATTGTGATAGGGCAAAGGTTCTTCCAAATTGTTTCAGCTGGAGTCATCTTTGATTTAACCTCAGACTGAGTACCCACACATATACTTTTCTACTCTGACTATGAAAAGTCATGTAGAAAAGTACCCAGTTCTGTTTTAGAAGCTTGGGGTAGAAATGTCCCAGGTAACTGCAGATGTTCTGGCTTCTGTTAAACTTCTTGCTTGTTTTATTACCCCTCTAACTGCCAACCAGGATGTAGTTTTTCTATGGGGAAAAAAAAAAAAAAGCCTTTGTCTTTAAAGGCTACTTACAAAACACATTTGAGGCTGCTCTGTAGGAAGTGCTTCTCCCAGGCAGTCACTGCCTGGCTTGATGCAGACTCTCCATTAGGATGTAGGTTACCCTCAGTGGTCTTTGTGTCCCTACCTTACAACACATGTCACTGTTAACATTGCACAGACTCTCTGCCTTGCACCCTAGACCTGGGAACTAAGAAAGATAGATACAGGGACAATATTAGCTAGGCAGACTACAGACCAGCAGTGTTATTTCTCCTTGACTTTTGCTCAAGTGGAAATCAAACCTTGCTCCCCACTCTACATATCTGATTGAATAGGAGAAAGGGAGGCTATGGGAGCTTAACTTTTGACATAAAAATACAGACTTTACAACTCCACGCATGCCCTGCAGTAGGCCCCTAAATTTTGAAGAACAAGAGAGTTTCTGTTGCAAAGAATGGGATTGTGAAATATGCTTCCTGAAAACACACAGAAACACACACACATATATATACATATACATTCATGTATGACCTATACATGTGTAAATATACAGAAAGCTCTCTCCTAAGGAATCCACAATAGGAAAATGTAATCCAATGGTCCTAAAATGACAGATCAGGAAATTCCTTAAGAAACATTGGGCAACAGGAAGAATCTGAGGCAACAGATTCCATGCCATAGGAAGGGTCCCTGAGGATAGATTTACTATCCAGAAAAACACCCTCTGTTGGAGACAAGCCCTGAGAAACTTCTGACCTTTTCTCATTCCCCCCACCCTGCTGCACCTGGTTGACCAACATCCTGCTTAACAGTTGCAGAAATGTGCTAACTGTACCATGACTTCCCGAAATAACTGCAAAGTGTTCCAGGGCCTGGGCCAAGAAGATTTTGTAACTTCCACCCTGCCCCTTCCTGAATTTAGAGACTCTAAAATGTGCTTTTCCAACCTACCCCTCCCTGAGTAAAAAGGATTCTACACTGTGCTCCTCCCTTGCCCTGCCCCTATTTAAGGTTGGCCTTAAAAGCCTGCTTCGGTTCAATAAAATTTGACTCTTGACAAGTGCACATTTGCTTGAGTCCGTTCTTCTCTCTCACCCGTTTTTCTTTCAGGCCTGGTCCTCTTCGAAGACCCCACGAATTACTAGTCCCGCAGGCGGGTACAAGTGGCGCCCAACATGGGGCCGAAGCACGGACCACTGCCGGATGGAGGTTTGCATGGATGGATCCGGATCGCTCAGAAAACGCCGCGACGAACCGAAAGTAAGATTGGCTGCTTGTGACTCGTAAAGATGTACGTTCCTGACACTCACAGGAAAAAGATACGTCGGGTAAGTCTTTCTCCATCCCATAAAAATGGGCCAATAGTTGCGCTCAGGGAGAGAGGAATTAGAGTTAAGAAAAAGGACTTAATTAAGTTCTTTGTTTTTGTGTCCGACATTTGTCCATGGTTTGTTATTGATGGGCCAGAGATATGCCAAAAAGTGGGATCAGGTTGGAGCCTGCCCTCTCGAGGACCTTAGAGAAAGAGGTCGAGATAAAGATAATAATTGTCCCCCCGTTATTACTGTTAATTCCCTAGCTTTTCCCATTTTTCCCAAAGAAGGCCCTGACCAATTAGACCCCTCAGAGGAGAGTGATTTGAAAGAAGAGGCTTCCAGGTACCATAACCCTGATTGGCCGCCTACACTTGGCAGTGCAAGCAAATGTTAAGAGATAGTACAGGAAAAAGAGCTGGTACCAAAAAGCTTCCTAAAGAAGAGATAGATCTCATCTCATTACAAAGTGAGGATAAAACAGAGTCAGGGGAAGAAACTGCTAAGTCTCATAGCCTACTTCTTTTACGCCGCTTCCCTTCCACCCAAACAAAAAAGGCCCCTAGGTGGGCTGGGGCAAAGGGCATGGATTGGAGCCAGAGCCGTAGCACAGTGAGCAGGAGGAACGGGGACTCTACTTGTCTCCTTCCCACTCCCCTACCAAGGGGCAGGCTTGCGGAGAACTGGGTGGATGAGAACACCCAAACCCTCAGAGGCCTAAGACCTGCCTCTGCCAGCTGCAGAGCTCAGCAGGACTGCAATTTACTCCGCCCCCTCCCACCGGCTTCAGCCAGTGTCAGCTTCAGCCGGCTCTCAAACAGAAACCAGAAAGATGGAGCCACTTCTAGTTTTAAAGATTAAATTGTGTTCACTGATAAATTCTG